AAGAGCTCACATCTATGTTAATTCATTTTTCCCATTTCATTTAGGATTGAGCGGTACACTATCATATAAACACTGTAAACTTCACGTTTTTTCCTTGTATCCCTTCACATTTCAGCCCTACACATGAAGATAAAACAATGAAGGAAAAAGACCCATGTGAATGGAAACCTCAAAAAACAGAAAAGGATCTACATTCAAACCGTCTTTCCAAGGTATCTGTGTTCTAGGGTTCCAGACCAAACAGTACAGTTGAGCCATGTGATAGCATCAGTTACGGGATGAATTATTAGAGGCTGAGACATGTAGCTCTCAAGAGAGACAGAGTCAGAAGATACAGTGGGTTTTGAGGGCATTTTATCAAAGATAAGAGCATGACAATAACACTGAGCTCTAGCCTTGGATTTGCCACTTATTACCCATGAAGCAGGCCTAGAAACAGGGAACAGTGTGAGTGATCCCCATGCACTTGCTCAAGCCCTGAGGGAGGGCCTCCTTAGGTTCTGTGCTTGAAGGCCTGGCTTAGAAGAGGGACTTAGTCCCTGTGCTTGGTCATCTCATCTTTAAAATGAGAATAAATAACTCCCACCCATTTACATCCCATTCCTATTCTCAATCATGATAAAATGAAATGTATATGAAAGTGCTTTGTAAGCCATAAGCTACCCTAAAATGAAATGTATTATTGTTGTCTATTAAGTAATTAACTGATCAATACTGTTTATTAATAGTAAATACTGTATATGTGTGTATATCAATATCCAATTGACACTATCCCCTACAAAACAATTAGTGTGGTCAGAAGTTTAGACAATAGTTTCCAACAGGGCTACTACCAGTGCTCCAAACATTCTAGATACCTGTGTAATATCTCCCTGTATAGACAGATAGCTTATAATAGCCAATTGTTCCAGTTCCAATCTGCAGGGCTTGGGTAAATCACACACCTAGTTGGTGGTGTGGAACTGATCTGTGGTGTGTCGGCCCAGAGACCAGGCTAGACCAGGTTGGCTGTTTACAGAGCATCACGAATCAACACAATTCAGAGAAGTCAGTCACTCATTATGAAAGACAGGGACTAGAGTGGGGGCAGCAGGGTCACATGGCAAGGCCAGGGGGCAGGCGCAAGGCCAAACATGGGTGATGAGGTCCGAGATCAGAAGTGAGGGAGCATGATTAAGGAGACTGACAAGAAAAGAGCAAAACCAGGATGTGCTCTTTTCCAGTGCCGGCCATGTGACAAGAGCCAAGTATGGGGTCAGGCTACCAAAAAAGCGACGTGTTCCTACTTTTATGGAATGGATTTGAGTTGGGTATTGTTAGAGGTTGCTTGGAACTTGCTAGGTAAATGTGGTGGGTGGTCTAGCTGTGTTCTCTGGAGTCAGGTATAAATGATTGGTCAGTAGATACAAAATCCATTGTGATTCACACGGACCTAGGGAACATTCCCAAGGACACAGAATCCATGCACTGCTTCCACTGAGGGAAGGCGGCCACTGTACTGGTGGGAAACATTGACCTCATTACTTTCTTGTCATTTTTCCCCATTGAAAAACTCACTCTTGGCCATGTGACTGAAAAGAATGGCCCTGCTCCTGTTCTCCTCTTAGCTTGCCCAGATCCCACCAAGCACTCAGGAAATTCCATGCCTTACTCGGATATCTATTAATTACTTCAGCTTTTTCCAAGTACTTTCAAATGAACCATTACAGTCAATCCTCATGTCCACTTGTAGTCAAAAGGACAGTCATCCCCTCTCCCGTTGTCATCTGATCATTAGAAAACATTCAGATGGCCAGAAGTATTCGATTTCTTCTCTATCTCCAGTATCTCTTCCTGTCAGTCTCTCCAGAGTTTTCTGAAATGAAAATCTGGGCAGGTTTCCCCTTAGCCTGGCTCCCTGTGACTGAGATAAAGCCCACACTCTTTGCCTTGGATGCAAGACCCTTCCTAACTCAGCCCCATTCTGTCTTGTCGTTTTAACCTCATTTCCAGTCTTTCTTCCCGTGTCCTGTACCTCTGTCCCTCCAGCTCTTCCCTCATCAGCCTCCCTACGCCCCTCATGAGGACACTAACGTTCCTCCACATACCCTATACCTTTGCTCATGCTGATTTATCTGCCAGGTGCTCCCTTAGCCCGTCAATCAATCTCTTACTTACATTGTAAAACAGTTTAATGAAAACTGCTTTTGAAGTCTTCTCCAACCCTATCTCTTAGCCAAGAGAATTGACTTCCCCCTTCTCTCTGTTTTCATCTCAGTGAACAATACTGCTATAAAAAACACTCACCACATTATACATTAATTAATTGTTTGCAGGTATTTTTTTTGTTATGTTAATTTATTGTTATGTTATGTTAAAACTACCACATTCATTCCAGAGCTTAGCATGTTACTTCACCTTCAGTAGGTGTTTAACAAACACAGGGAAGAAGTGAGGAGGAACAGAAGAATGGAAGGTGGAGAGATGAAATGTCAGGCAAAAGGAACACCACATCCCTTTGTGGCAAAGAGCACAGAGCTCTAAAGTCAATTCCTGCCTGGGTAGATTACTAGCTGTGAGACCAGAGGCCAGTTATATAACCGTTATAAACTATTTATCAAGAAGACTAATGATATTTTCCTAACGGGGTTTCATGGAGATTAAGAGACAGAATACATAAAGAGCCTGCCCTGTTATGTCCTGACTGCTTCCCATGGGCCGCCTCGTTGGCCATTCCGATGTGGTATGCCAAAAGACGTGGTATGCTTCCTCATGAGACTTAGAGTCGAGTAAGACACCATTAACTATTGGGTTGTTGGAAACGTCATGACATATTTTTTCTATGTTTCTCATTGCAAAAATGCGTCATGACTTTTCTGACAACCCAATAAAATAATAAACAATTACTACCTGTGAGGAATGAATGAATGAACTGCATGAATAAGCAAAGTACTAAACAGATATGTCAAAGCCTTGCAGTACTCTTCCTGTTGCATATGTTTAGGTAGGTGCCTATGAAGGGACACCTGGAAAAATCCAGATGATGAAAATC